ATGTCCTCTGGGCTCCCTCTTCTGTCTTTAGCAGGAAGGGGACATGGCAGGCACTGGGGTTTTTCCTCACCTGCAGAATTAGGCTAAGCCTTGGGAGGGAGAGGCCAGAGAGAGGAGATCATCAACAGGCAGTCTTCAGTGCTTGGGAGAATGTACCCACCTCAGGAACGAGGCGCCCTTCAGCCCCAGCCCAGAAACAAAAGGGTGTACAATGAGCTGTCAGATCCTCTGGAATAGGAAAACCTCTGATCACAGCTCCCGGGGGAGGTTCTGATCAATGTTGGTGTGGAAAGGGGCCAGGAGAGTAGAAGGCGGTGTTACACCCAGGTCTCCTCAGGAACAGAGGGTCGAATTTCCTTGTGCAGGCCTCACTTCACCTTCACCCATTCGACGGATGTTCGCTGAGTACCTACCAGGTGCCAGGAACTTCTCAGTGTGGGGAACTTAGGGTTCCTTCTTTCTTTATTTCTTTCTTTCTTTTTCTTTCTTTCTTTCTTTCTTTCTTTCTTTCTTTCTTTCTTTCTTTCTTTCTTTCTTTCTATCTTTCTTTCTTTCTTTCTTTCTTTCATTCTCTCGTTCTTTCTTTTTAAGAAAGCCATGGTCTAGTGACAGAGAAAGACAAGAAATCAGTAACTGTAAGATGATGTATCTAGAAGTATGCACAGATCACAGAATGTCATGTGCAGAGTGGGGATGTGGCTTTAGGACAAAGTCAACGTACAGAGACCTGGCTAGCGAAAACCAACCCAAAATTAACTTCCGGCTGCACACTTGCACCTGGCAAGTCACTAAAGAGATACAACGAAGTGAGAGGGAAGGTACATTCAAGGTGGCAGGAAGGGGTTTCGATTTGATTTATTGACCTGGGTTCAGGGCTTTGGCCCCACCTGCTCAGACAAGTATTCCGGTCCACCTGGTGGGTATATGCGGGGAGCAAGCCTGGTCCTCCCACCTACTCCTTCGGGAGAGACTTTGCCCTCTGTCAGGGGGCTGTATTAACTCCAGAGTCATCAGGCTTCTTTATCTGCCTGCATGTGTCCTCCATGGTCTATTTCTAACAAGGCAGTTCTATGCGGAACTGGTGAGAGGAAAAGAAATTGTCCCTAATTCTACCCATGAGGCCACTAAGAACGAATCTAAGCCTCTGCTACCTGGCGCACCCTCCTGTACTTGAGAGCAGCTCTCCTGTCTCCCCCACTGCTCCCCAGTCCTCACTTCTCCGGACTTAACACCCAGCTTCTTAATCCTCCCTCAGAGTGACATATTTTCAAGTTCACCCACCATTCTCATCACTTTTTTCTCACTTTCATATTGGTATTACCTACCCTCTTTTAAAATGTGAAGCCTATAACTAAACATAATAAACCCGGTGTAATCTGAACACTACAGCGTAGAGGAGCAATAATCATCTCCCTGTTTTCTCTCTCATATTTCTAATAATACAACCAAAGATAGAATTTGCTCCTTTGGCAGCCACATCGCAATGCTGAGTCCTGTAAAGCTTACTGTAAGCTCAAACCCTAGGTTTTGTTTGTTTGTTTGTTTGTTTGTTTTTCTATTTCTGCTGCTTAACCAAATCTTTCCCATTGTTCATGCAGTTCTTTTCTAGGCCAAAGTGTACAACCTAGGCAGTGGCGAGAAAAATTAGCCTGCCTGCCTCCTGGCTTTGGGCCCTACCTAGCAGACTTCCCAGGGAGAGGTCCTCCTGGCTCAACTCATGAAACAGAGCTAGAGGCCTAGGACCAGTGGGGAGCTGGTGATGAAGGTTCCTGTCTGTTGACAGCCCAAGAGGCACATTCCCCCTCCCCTCCAGGTCATGGGCTCTGATGTCCCCAGCAGGTTCTGGGAATAAGCTGTCATCTGGTGTCACACTATCCCCCGTTTCCCTCCCAAGAGGTCAGCCCACTCCAAACGTGCTATGGGGCTCTCAGAAACCTCCGTAGCTTCTCTTCCTGTGTCCCTCCCCGGGAAGAAGGAGGGATGCCACAGACCTGTAAGAATGACCTCAGGCACAGTGCTAGGCATGGAGGCAGAGCTGCAAAATTAGAGGAGTTTATAAGCAGAATTTACTCGGGAGGGACTGGGTAGGTAACTCACGTTAATCTAGTGTTAGAACACTTGGAAGAGTTTGCAAACTTTTACTTGTTTCCTCAAAAGCTAAAGATGCTACAGTAACATATGGGGCTGGACATCAGAGCAGAGGGAATGGCAGAGTGTTTCCAGGACCATAGATACCTAGGAGACCAGAGTTCTCACAGCAAGAAACTCTAAGGCATGTTGAGGGGGAGAAGGAATGAGGATCAAGGGGTGTACAGTACATCAGACCAAAATGTGAAGCCCTAGGTTAGAGAAAGTGAGTGTACGCTGCGACAGCGGCTGGCCCCTGAGTGGAGATAGGAGCCCTGCGCCCCCAGCCCCGCAGCCCTGACCCCCCTCTCTGCCCACACACATACCCTCCCTCCCACAGGCACGCAACACGCAATTCCTGAAAGGCCTCTTAGAGATGCAGGACAAGAAATGTGGGGGGAGGGAGGACACCTAGAGCTTTTCCCTCTTACGTGACTTTGGAACAAAGAGTCAGACTGGGGCGGGGGGACAGGAGGCTTCCACCAAAGCCGCCCTGTTGTGCTCCCCACCTGCCTCTAGACCCACCCTTCCAACCAGTGTGTCCGACCAGGCGGCAGAGCACCTTCCTGGACCAAGAAGGTGAATCAGGGTGAAGGGAAGGTAAATAATAATCACAGTAATTTAAGGCAGGTGAGTCTGTCCTGGATGTGTTGGCTGGGCTGTTGTTTGTTTCCCTTTTCTAAGCAAATTCAGAGGTCAGAGATGACCCCTGGAGGGGAAAGAATATGACCGGCAGGACCTGTGCTTATTTTCTACCCTGCCTGCCCCTCCTGCCCTCCCTTTACCCTACATTTTGGAGCAGTCATATTCTTTAGCACTCAGTCCCCTGCCTCTCATCCTGCCCTGGGCTACAGTGAGTCTCTGAACCACAATGTGAGGGCTCCTTCCTCAGGGTTTCCATTCAGGCTGGTCCTAACCCACCTCCAGTCCTCCCTCATCTATCCAGAGCCAACTCAAATGTCACCTTCTCTGGCTTTGCCTTCCCTGAACCTCACAGATAAAAGTTGACATAGTCCTTGCAGGGGGCGGGGAGGTGTGGATTTATAGAGTTCTTCTCATTGGTCTGTGTTTTCTGTCTGTTTATATATATGTATATATCTAAGTTGGGAGCTCCTAAAGGGTAAACAGCTCATGCACCTGGTACAGGGTTGATGCTCTCAGGAAATAAGGCAGTGAGGGAGAGTGTGCTTGCCTGCATGAGTGAGTGAATGAATTTGTGAATGAATGAATTACAGGAAGGAAGAGCGGGCTGGACAAGGGCACAGCATCTCCAACACACAAGTGTATGTGCATCGTCTTGGCTGGGGACTGTGCTTCTCTCTGTACATTACTAACTGAAAAATGGAAGAGCTGAGGCTATGCTTAGCCAAATGGGCTCCAGCTGGCAGCAAAATACTATGCCCTGACATTTTGGGGAGGAGTCCCTACACTTCAGAAAGCTGTCACCTGGAAAATCTCCATCCCCTTATCCTCAATGGAGCCTTCTCTTCTTCCAGAAAAAGTGCCGAGTGTCCCAGACAAATGTGAGGTCCTCTGGAACCAAGGGAGGCAGCATGTGTGTTATGAAGAGCCCTTAAGAGGAGGTCGGGAGATCCAGTAGATTAGAATCTTGACCCCACACTGGCTGCATGGACTTGAGACAGAAATGCTCCTCTCAGAGCCTCAGTTTCCCCGTATGTTTGGGGAGAGGTTTGGATTAGCTGATGTCTGAAGAGATTTTGAGCAAGTGGGATCGCGTTCCACGACGGGCTGCAGGGCAGGGCTGCACCAAGGCACCCTCTGGATTGAGTCCTTTAATTCCCCTCCCCTGCCTGGAGAAGGGAGGAATCTACCTTTGCTGCACTCCAGCCTCGCCTTGAGAACAAATCAATGGAAATCAGGCTAGGATTCTAGGCAAAATACACTACATTTGAGAAGACTTCAGGTTTTCTTACCTTCCTGGTGTGCCAAGAGGGCAAAGTGGGGAGAAGGGAGCAGGAACAGGGAAGGGGGAAGGCTAGGGCAGGGTGGGGTCACAGCTGAGCAGAGGAGGAAGGACTAAAAATAAGCAATAATTGATAAACCAGCCTCTTTAAGGCTTCCTAATGCAGGCTCTTTTTCCAGTTCCTTTTATCTCCCCAACTTCCCCTCACAAAGAGCAGCCTTTTCCCCACCCGCAGGAATGGAAGGGAAGCAGGTTGCAAAGCCTCTCACTTCTCAGAGGAGAGCAGCAAACTCACTCTGTACATAATATCAGAATAACCACTGGTTGGACCTCTGCTCAGACCTCTGGGCGTCTCTCTCCAGCTGCCCTTAGGCGGGCTGGCCGGCCTCCGCTGGATTGCTGGAGTGCGCTGTGTGGCGCGAACAACCAGGGCCTCGGCTCACAGCCCAAAGGCCATCAATTTCCAGTGCCTACACACAGGTACACGTACGGCGCGCACACACAGCCTCTCCTAGCCCAGATAAGATCTCAGCATTCCCCTTTCTTTTCCCAGGTCTTCCTGAGGCCAGAGCCTCCAGGGCCAACATTTAGATAACCTGTAGTCCCACCAGTGACACAGACCCCACCTCTCTTTGCTCCCTTTTCTGGTGTTTACAGAACAATGAGAAAGTGATATTAGTTTGCAGTAAGGCCCGGCCATTCACGGCCCCTTGGGGTGTGGGCTCTGCAAGGCGGGGCCAGGAGCCCAGGCCCTCTCTCCATTGGTTGAGCTCAGCAGGTAACCCGAAGCTTTGCTGCGAGGTGCATAAATAAAGAGTGAAACTAGTGCCACCTCCTTGAAAGGGGCCGAGTCCTTCTTCTTCACCCTTGCCTTGGAAAAACCAGTTTCTCTTTCTTTTATTGTCTGCTACCAACTTGTATTCTAAAAGTTCAATGGAACCCCAACCATACTCCAAACTCTATTTTTCCAGCTATCTTTACTCTCCTCTACTCCAACTCACTTTCCTCTGCTCTCATATTCCTTTTGATTAGAGGGAGAATGGCTATTCAGGACCGGCCCCTACCTTCCCTCAGGAGCCATTTCTGTTCTGCACAGGCCTGCCGAGCTGGACACTTTATACAGTAAGTGTTTCTTGTTTCTAATTTCCTGTCCTCAAACCTTAGGAGTGAAAGAACATTCCAAGACTTGGAATTCCTTTTCTTTCTGCCATACACATGAGTCTCTAGCCACCTCTTTGTTCTGAATTATCTTATGAAAAATCTGTTTATTGTTTTGAATCAAGCTTATAGTAGGCCCTGCTCTGTTGAAGGTACAGATACTCATATGGACAGGTGAGTCTGAAATCTCTGGATTTGCAGGGTTTTGGAAAACTAAAGCTAAGAGACTACATCTGGAGAATCATTGGGCAGGAAGAGCAGAGGATGAACTATGAAAAAAAAAAAACTACATTGACTGGAAGTTGATCAAAAACTTCCTCCAAGGCTAAAGTAGCTGAACCTGCTGCATTTTAACCAAATCTCCAGCTCGTTCTCTGTTTTCCTGAGGATTTACATTGATCCCAGGCAATAAATCTCAGCGATAATGGGAACTGGTATGGTAAGGTGTGTGCTGAGCAGTTAAGCACCAGGATTGCAGTTCTGCCTGGTTTTGTGGAGATTTACACAACTAGAGGAGCTGGGCACTGGCTCACTGTTCACTCCTGGGCTGGAGGGTGCAGCGCTAACAGGAAAGTAGGACCTGGTTCCATTCTTTGCTTCTCGTGTCCAAGTGGGTTGTATTAGGAAGCCATTTGGGGCAAGTCCTGAGGGCAGTTGGGACAGGAGGCCAGTCCCTGGATGAATCTACTCTATAAGCCAAGCACATGCCTGGTTTGCTTCTGTGCCCAAACCCCACTCTGGAAATGGCCAAGGCGAAGGTCATTGGGGCACCATGTTGGCAAAGCAATGGTGGGCAGAAGAGTCTTGAACTCTGGGTGTGGAGTCCAGAGTGAGTCAAGGCCCCTGATACAGCTCATCTATCTCTGTCTGGTAGCAGCTGCGGGCCTGCAGGGTGAAGGGAGGGTGATAGGCAAGGGCCTGTCTTTTCTGGGCTCTCTAATGTCAGTGCTGCCTATCGTGTGCATTGCCTTTCACAAAGTGCTTTTACAGACACTGTCATCTCTGGAGCATCCACCTTGCAGGCCGAGGACCCCAAAGGAGGGCGAGGCTCTCTGCACACTCCGATTGATGACGTGAAGAACCTGGTGGACCATACATGTTGGGAGGATAAGAGTGGGGTAAGGAGGGTCTGCAGGGAGATGGACTGACCCCTTTGCTTTCAAACTGGGATAAGATTTGCTTTCAAACTGGGACAAAGAGAACACAAAGAAACCTTCCATCCCAGAAATATTCCGCCCCCTACCTCCTGCCGTCATTTATCAGAGCCAAACAGGTTGCTCTTTTCTTCTTTTTGACGGTGAAATGATAGGCATTGCAGAAGGACTATACAGCCCAGATAATTCACAAGCAGGGCACATTTCCGCCCTCATACTCGAGAACCATGAGTATTCATAAAGAAAGCTGGGTGGAAGAGGGCGGGCCAGGCTTCATCCTCTCAGTACCTGGATCCCTGCCACCAGCATGCCCAGTGTCCCCCTGACCAAGAACAGCGGGGAATCTTCCTCAGCAGTAGCTAGAACCCCCATACCCTTGTTGAAGAGTCTTTCTCAGAGGCCCTGTGCCCGAGGGGCTGGATGTGGAGGGAGGAGCCGTATTGTAAGCTACTGCCTCCCTGCGTCGGGTCAGAACAAGCCCCGGAAGAAAGTATTCCAAACAACAGGTGGATCTGCCCTAACCCACCCAGTCTGCATGGAGGTGCTGAGAACAGCCTTTTATGGGGTTTACACTGAGCCACGGGCATGTCTGAACATAGCAAGGAAGAGGCCCGAGCAGCAGCTACACGGCCACTGGTTCACGGGCATTTCTTTTAGGGGGCAGGAAGCTCTCCAAGAGTTTCCACGCTCCCTGTTTAGTTCAGTCCCTGAAAACCAGGTCACCTCCTCTCTCCCCACAGCTACAACCCCACGCCCAAAGAAAATGCAGTTGTGCTATTTCCAAATATATTGGGGAAAGGATGCAGGGTCACCAGAAAGCGGACATGCCAGATAAGTTTAGGAGTGAGACTGAGGAGTCTCGCCCTCCTCTGCCCACCCCCGTGCCAGGTGTGGGCTTGGCTCCCGCTGGGTGTTCTGGTCCCTCCAGAGCCCCTCACGCACCTCCTTCTGATTTCTCCTTATTTCACACTGGCAAATGGGCCTGCAAAGTGCTGTTCATGCTCACTGGGCAGTGTGTTCTGGAGAGGAACACCTCCCACCCATCACCTTGGTAAACAAGTTCATAGGAGATGCATTTTTCTAAAGTAATTGCAGAACACCTGACTCCTTCAGCCAGGACCAACCCCACCAAGCTCAGTTCTGTCACACTCAGGGGGACACAGAAAAAGGCGGAAGATGACCAGCACCCCAACTAGGTAAACACAGAGAAGTTCCCCATGGCCTTGTCTGGGAAGGCTGTCTCAAGGATGAGAAACAGTGATAGTGCCCAGCCCCGCAGGCCCAGCGCCACCACTGGGCACTGGTTTCTGTGCCGCGGGCACAGGGGCATCTTCGTGAGCTGGCTCTCCGCAGCCCCGGGGAAGGAACCGTCCCGGGGAGGGCGAGAGCGTCAGGCCCTCCACACCTCCCACGGCTCTGGTTCAAAGGTCCCGAAGGCCTCTGACCAGGCGATAGCCCTGAATGCAGAGGCTGGGCTCACATGCCACCCACCCTCTGAGAAAAAGACCCCCAGACGATCCATGTGTTTCTCTTGTCCTTCATTCCACCGGAGTCTGTCTCATACCCAACCAGATTTCAGTGGAGTGAAGTTCAGGAGGCGTGGAGCTGACACCGTGGCTTCAGCAGCCCCAACGGGAGCAGCCAGAGTAGCTCTGACTTAGACATAAAAACACCAGTGAGAGATGTGAGAGACGAGGAGACATCATCTGGAGGTCGCGATCTTCTGCAGACAGGCCGGGCCGTGGGCGAATGGGAGACAGCACCGCAGATAGGAATGGCCGATTCTTCATTTTCTAAAATTCATACAATGGAAAGGCGTGCTTTCTGTAACTTACAAAAATTAAAAGTGGTCTGTCTGCCGGAAATCTGTGTCTGTGCTTCATGCTGTTGGATGCTGACTCCCTGACCTCCGTCACCTCCCTTTTGGGCTAAAAAGGAGACATGGCCTGGAACAGTCTACTCAGGCCCCCTCTCTCCTTGGGTTCTCTAGGCAGGTGGCTGAAACTATTTGCAATCAGCAAGGAACCCCGCTATGCGAGCGCCCCCACCCCCGCCCCGCAGTGCCAGCAGGACCCGCAGAACAGGGTAAAAAACTCTCAAGCTATTTTCAGACCCATTTATATTGTAATAAAATAAATGTAAATAAGATTTAAGTGAAGGCAGATAGATTGCAAATATTTCAAACTCTATACAAGATGTATCTCGTATAGTAAGGGTATAAATTCTGCAAAGATTAATGCACTTAAAACATATTTGACACATAAAAATGCCAGACCCAGCATTAATCATTTACCAATTGTAATTGCCTTTATATGGGTCTCTTCTCCCCAAGATGTATGCTTAAAACACCAGGCTCTGTAGAAATCTGGGAGGAAAAACAAATAACACTTCTCAGCCGTCAGGGTCTATGATCTGCTTTGATAGATTTAGCATTGATTTCATTGGCTTTACAAGCCTGTGCGATTTTTTCTTTCTTCTTTTTGAACACCACATCTCTTCTTTAGGGAAGGAGACAATTGTCGGGAAGAGAGAGGACCCCCAAGTACTAAAGAATCCACCCTGTTATGGAGGGGAGGCCCAAGCTTTTGTGTTAATTGCTTCTTCATCAAGTAAACAGGGTCTCCCCTTCAGGGAGCCAGTCTGGCCAAAGAGCAAACTCTGAACAAAGCCTGGCTCTGCTGAGTCTTCAGAAAAACCGGTTTTCACCTCCAGAATGTGCCCCAGGCGGCAAAACTCAATAGAGCCCCCTGGCCTGGCAAATGGTGTTTTTCTTAGGAGCTCCCTATAAAGGAGATCCCAGCTTTGTAGAGGGATAACCTGTCACTTGGGTATCTAAGCCCCTCCCCCAGCCAGTGACCTCTGAGAAAAGGGGCCTCTTGGCCCTCCCTACCTCCGCCTCCTCCTCCTCCTCCTCAGGGACTCTGCCCCTGAGGAATTAAGGGCTGCCCGGCTGATGACTGGAACCAAGAGGAGTAAGCATTTCTCCAAAATGTTTTTCTTCTTCAAGTGAATACAGCTTCAAAACCTGTCCCTGTCACCCTCGCTTCATTCTGAGGCGCGCGGATAACAAAAGGGTGAGGAGGCCAAGCCACGGGCATTAAAAAATGTTTACCCATAAAAACTATTCAGTGAAGGGGGTTGGGAGGGGTTTGGAGTACTCAAGCTAACTGACCAGCAAATACCTTCCATTCAAGGTTCTGCAAGAACAAAAAGAGCACAGAGCAGAAGTGATGTAGCATTTCCATTAGCAGCTTGGTTTGAGCCCTATGACCTGGGATCTTTTTGAAGAAGCGTGTCTGTGTGTGTGCATGAGAGAGAGAAAGAGAGACAGGCAGACTGGAAGCAGAAATGGTGACCACAGGGCTGTCTGCCAATTGCCAGCCAGGACATAATGCTGTGACTACCAAGGTCTGTACCTGATGTGCTGGTGGGTTCCCACACCCCAAATCCCACTCCAGTGCCATCTTCCCAGCAGAGATACATGGCTTGTGTTTCCGGCATGCAGTCTGGGCTGCCCACTTCCTCCTGCCCCACTGCAAACAGAGAGAACCCGAGTCCAGCCCAGAGCAGCCTGCCAGGGAAGCCGCCACGTGCCGCACGCTGGAACAAACGGCCCCGACCACCTTCCCCACCCAATCCCCCTATTTTATGTCTCATATCTTTATGGCAAAGCGTGGCCTGCTAAAATGCAACACAGAGAAAATGATTTAATCAAAATTCCCTTGCAACGACAATAACAACGACAAAATAATATTGCCCTGCTTTCTTTATTCATGATCTTTTATTGAGGCAAAAGGCAAATATCATTGAGCCAAACCTGAATAGACAAACATATACAACTGCTGGTAATTTAATATTTTGTGCTAATGGTATACACTGTAGATACAACCCCAGAGGAATGAATTACAACCCTATCAATAATACATCGCATCTGGGCTCCGGTTTCCCACTTCATGAGAAAATGTGTATTGGCAAAAGGCTCTCCGAATATTAAGAGCCATGCATATAATGAGGCGGTGAGTACAGAAGCTAGTCTGTCTCATAGGACTGTACTCTGGTCCTTGTGATCAAGGTCCTTTATGGGGGAAACATCCCACAATGAAGCTTCTAAAGCTGTTGCTAAATGAATGCATCCCATCCACGTTCTGGACAGATTTCTGGGTGACGCTGCAATCACAGAATAACCTACAATCAGGACACTCTCTGGCCAGACTACTCAGAGCACTGTGTCCATTTGGAGCCTCAGGTCTATGGTCAATGTCTGAGGTCTGTTGGAGTGGGCAAGAGGCTGCCCCATTGCAGATGACAACGGGTGAGAGAAAATTGCTTGGCTTCGGAGCTCCTGATCCTGACCCCGGCTTTTCCGGTTGCGGGTGGTCCTCCACAGAAAGGAGGAAGGGAGGGAGGACTGATGACAGGCGAGGAGCCAGTCACCTGCAAAGAATAAGTTCATTCTGGAATTTAAAACGTCTACAATTCTTAAAAGTCCCTTATTCCTCCTGCCAGGAGAGGCAAATGGCAATCTTAATTGAGAATAGGGAGGACGCATTTCTGTCACGGTAATATTACTATCATGGGCGAATTAGGTGACTGTTTTCAAGACTGCTAGTTAGTGCCACAGTCACACTCTGATTCCTGTCCCTGACCTCCCTGGTGGAGGACGTGCTGAGGAGTCAGGCCAGCAGGGTCAGTACCTTCCCTGTCACTTTTGAAATCAGACCCCGGAAGGAAGAGGAGAGCCCACAGAGGACTGGGCGGCTGTCAGGGGCTTTCAGGCAAAAGGAAGGAGATACAGACGACAGTACCAACCCCAAGCTCAGGGACGAAAAGGCCCCACCGACGTCAGTTTATTAGAGGAAATAAAAGCTTTCTAAATTGCAGGGAACTGACCAGGCTCCCTGGAGAGACACCAATGCATCAAAGAAAAACAATGCGAGAAAGTCCCTTTGTCTGGAGGCAAGAACCAGCATCTGGATCTGTTGTCACAACCTCCCTTTTCCCTACAGCCCCTTCAACCCTCCTTTCGCTTCTTTTCCCCTTTCCAGGAGTGAAAAAGGCCATTTTCCTGGCGGCAGATAGCAGGGCTGGGTGGGACACCTGGTGGTCAGTAGGGGAATTACACCTGAGTTTGGTCTCAAACGCTCAGTATCCAGATCTGAGACCAGTGTACGGTGATATCATGAGAAATAACAAAGCAAGCAGCTTCCTAGCATATGTGGTATTGGAGTAAACTTTAAATATAGTAGCAATTGGGTAGGCACTGACCTACATTTTTGCTATGTCCAGCTGTATGTGGGAAGAATTGGTGGCTAAGAACATATATAAATAGAATCCACAGATCAACAAATACATACTAAGATTTGCAATAGAACTCCACCATTATTTAAACTTAACTTAAAGTCATATTGAAAGTAGATACTGTTCCAGAGGACTCACCAGGCTGTAAAGGTGGAAATTTCCCCCGAAGATAATACATAGATGAAACATTCTCACCTACATAGGTAATCAAATACTGACTGCTCAAGGCTAATACTGATTGCTTATTTGCACCCATCTAACGCTACTGGCAGCAGCCTAAAGTTTGGGAGTCAGAGTATAACGTGGTTAAGAGGGGTCAAATTAGATCTGGTGCCATTTTGACCTGGCCAGGGGACTTTCGGCCAGCCACTTAACCTCTCTGAGACCCCATTTCCTTATCTGTCAAGTGGAAATAATGATAATAATGACAAGTAATTACTAAGCACCAGACACTGTGGGTTGTGTGTATATTAAGTCATTTAATGCCCCCAATCACCTTATAAGGCATGACTGATGTTTCAGTTTTATGGATGATAAAACTGAAACAAAGAGTGGGTAAGGGACTTGCCCGAGGTCACACAGTGGGTAGCAGAGACAAGATCCAAAGCCAGCTGTCCCAGTGGGAGTTCACACACCGGACTATTACTTTATCTTATCTTTTAATGTTGGTGTGAGGACTAGATAAGATAATGCAGGCAAAGGTCTTAGCAAATGCTTAGAAGACTCTACTTAAAAAATATTATTTATCATTGTAACCTTGGTATCAAGAAAAAGTATCTTTGGGAAGCTTGTCTAGTGTCCATCAACCAGAAATTAGTAACTGTATGCACACTTTTGGCAGCCAGCAACTCAGTGTTAAATTTACAGTGCAATTTAGTCACAACTACAAGGAATCTTAGCTTTAAAACAATTATCTCCTCTTTCTATCACCTTCATTTTAGGTGAGTCCATATTTTTTAGCTTCATATTCAGTATGTGTGTCATGTTCTGGAAGCCTTGAGGATTTTTTTTTTTAATAGGCATAGCATAAATCAGAAATAACCATTTTTCCAGGATAGATGTCATTTCAAATTTTACTATATTTTTCTGAGGACAGGTGAAAAGTATTCATGAAAAAGAAACTGGTACAGAGTTAATAAAAAGAAAAAAGATAAAACAAACTTCTGAGCTCACAAGAAAGTGGAACCATCAAGAAAAATAAGTCAAGAAGCAGCAAACAGGAGGCTGCTCCCAGCACCCCAAAGCCGACGTTTGATGTCTGAGGAGTCACTTTGTGCTGAAGCCACGCCGCCTGCTCCCATTAAAGCGCTCGCCAAAGCGAGGGCAGCTCTGACACCAGGCAGGCCATCCCCAGGCTGGAGCTCGGTCCCTGAGAGATTT